TAAACAGAGTACATTATGGGCAAAATTTTAGAAAGAAAAGTTGTATTGGGTTGGAAAAAATTTAAAAGTACAACTAAATAACAGAGGAAAAAGATAGTTCAGAAAGATTCAAATAAATGCTGTTCTTGGGACTTCAATTCTGGATTGAAATAGAAATAAAACGACTTTTCATAATGAAACATCTCTGGGCCTGAGTTGGTCTAAACTGATCCAGCCTGTCCACTTGTCAGGCTGCTGACAAGAACGTCACAGATCTTTCACCTTCCTAGCACTATCGGCCTGATTCTCTGGGGAACACCATTGCCTTGTTGGCCATTCTTTTGGTATCCTCATGCCAAATAATTTACTTGGGGTTTATTATGATAAGAGGTATAATTAGCAGTCATTTTGTAGAATAAACTATTGATGCCACAGACCAATTTTCTGCAAGTGCCTCTAAAGTAGCACCTGCACCATTCATGTTTATAAATCAGGTAATTGTATATGGAGCCACTTATGTGTATATGTAATTAGCCTAATTTGCATATGCAGATCAATTATCTTATATACAGTTTGCCAACTTCTTGCTTCCTCTATACTTCTTTGCCCACTTTGTAAATTCACATAGGTCAGATTTCTGAGGTACCATTTTATTAAACTATGGTTTATTCTTTTTTTCCTGAGTTATTAGAGGTATTTCTAGTATATCATCTGATGATAAAATACAAAGTCAAGGTTGAACAAAGTTTCTAACTTTTTATAAATTATTATATTAGGAAGTAATTGTACTTGTACTGGACATTCCAAAACCATTTAAATCTTTTTTGCTCTCTTAAAAGGACATTTAACTATGATTAGGAATCTTCAATTCTTACCTAACTCCAAGAAATAACAGAGAAATGACAACCTAATTACAATAGGGGCTGGACAGCATGAAAGACAATGATGGATGTCATTCAGTGATTTTAACCTCTGGGCAGATTTGTAGCTTGTGCCCTGCCCATTAGGCCCACACTGGGCAGGATTCTTAAATCTTCATTCAAATGCTAATCCATCGGTGATTCTACAAGGAGAAAATTAAAGTAGGGTCATTTTGTATATTTTGAAAAATGTAAAGATACAAATTTTTATCTAGACTAGGGAGTGATAGAATACAAGCAGAAAGGGCTCCCAATTGACTCTGGTGGACTTAATGGTGCTTTGGTAATGGGGCTTGGGGTGACAACCCAGTTGCCGAGGTGTGATTCTATACTTTGACATCGATGACAGTAGTGTAAACCAACACACATCAATGAGAAAATGCACCCCCCAAAGGCTACTTCTAGGATTTGCACAGCATTATATTTCAAATACACAAACATGAAGTACTTTTTAAAATTCTACATTAACTTAAGGCAAAAATGTTTAACTGAAAATTTATGCTGTATTACTTAAGTTTAAACTACAAGACATGGAAAATTTAAGCTATTTGCTTTAATTGTTAATTCATCAACATGACTCATTTCAAAGTAAGAATATCTAAATTTCCAAATAAGTATATTAGGGATTAGTGAAGCAGAAAAAGGAAAATTACAGATGAGTTTGCTTTGTTTTAATGTATAACTTCTTAAAATATGAAGTCATCTTCAATTACACAGAGAAACACAAACTAATTCTGGAATCACAACCAACTACCTATTTTAAAGCATACAACTGGCTGCACATAGTTTTAAATACTTTGAACTTTTGTAAAATAATATAATACAATTTCAAATGTTGAAAAAACATTTTGAAGGGTTCAATTTTGACAGGTTCAATGAATGGTTCAATTAAAAGTGGCAGATTAAAAATAAAAATTCCTCTCAGTCAAGAAGCCTCATGAAAATACTAGTAAAGAAATAAAAAGTATAAATCAAGAAAAAAAAAAGGACAGAAAAGGGAAACCAAAAGGTAAGAGATTTCAACAAAAGCTATCAATATGGAAACTGGTTTCCAAATCAGTAACTAATTTAGCAATGCAGAAATCTCAAACCAAAGTGCTGTCTGAGGGCTATTTTGAGGTCACCTAAGCAAATTAATCCAGACACAGTCTAGGTAATAATAAAAATGAAGACTGAACTGGAAGAGAGAACACTGCATCCTTTGGAAGTCTCTAATAAAAAGATCTGACACCATCATATTCCTCATTCAAAATCACATCTACAAGCCTTCCTAACACTCCTCAGGCACACACACACCAAAGCAAGACACAAGAGGAGTGGCTTCCTAGAAAAAATTAACTGACAGGACTCAAGAAGTGGTGACGTCAGCACAGTGGCTACTGGGAGTCAGGCACATGTTACAACAAGATGTGCGAACAGTTAAAGGCATCCAGGGAGCAGTGGATTCCACCCTGATGAGCAGCAGAGAACTACGAGAGGCAAGATGCATGGCAGATGTCTAGAATGGAGCAGGAAAAACATCAGAGTCCAGCAGCACAATTAGCAATCTTGCCAATGTTTAGAAATGAGTTACAACATGAAAGAGTAGAAAAGCTGTCATCCATTCTCCAGGTACAGTAATCAACATGTCAAATACACAAAGCTGCTAAGGAGAAAGTGGCATCACTAAATTGGATTTACATTACTGCTTTCTATTATAAATCATTTGGTTCTATGTGGTTTTTTTTTTTAATTTAACTAACCAAGTGAATATAGTTATTTTGAAAAAGATTAAAAAAAGATTTACTATCTGAAATAGTAAATGAGAAACAGTTTAAATTCTTAAGTAATTCTGTCCGCCATTTTAAACATAAATGGAAAAACAGGAAAAATGTCATATGTTAAAAGTGGTTCTTTTGGGCCTCCCTCCCTGGTGGCACAATGGGTTAAAGCACAGCACTATGAAGTTAGACACAGATGCTTCAGCACAAGTTCGATTCCGGGCCAGGGAGGTGACCCACATGGAGTGGCAGACCTCTCCTGTTTCACCGTTGCTCCCCTCAGCAGTGTACTTTATAGATCTGCCTGTTCTGCTTCCCACTCTGTCTCTGGTGAATCCTCTTACCACCACTGCACTTCTGGCCCGTACCCCAGTTCTGTATGCATAAGTAAGTAAATCTTTTTTTTAAAAAAGTGGTTCTTTTTGTGGTTTCAAGTATTTTCTATAATGGTCATCCATTATTTGAAGAATCAACTTAAAAGCCACAGTGGAAAAATATATATAACACAAAGTAAAGAAAAACATAATTTATAAATGATTATTATACAGGACAACCATTGACCTGCAGGAAAACCAGTGGGAGACACTGCAAAAACAAATAGAAAATTCAAGTGCGAATAAAACAGTAAATATATGCTGGTCCTAGTCCTAAGTCTGTTAAAGTTCAACTTTTAAAACTTTGTTCCAACTTTATTAGAATCAATGATTATCTCACTTGAAAAATAATATTAAAAAAAATTGAAAAATAGAAAATGACATTTTTCTAAAACTGGAAATTACCTTAGCAAGGTACATTCTTAGCACTCCTGCAATAGAGACAATTGTCTAAACTTACTCTGAGGATTTAAAAAGGCAGCTTCTAAGCTTCCTTTGGAAACATACTCAGCATTCAATACCATCACTTATTCAGTAAGGTTTATTCCCATAAATTTAAATGGCTAGTTCTGTAGTTTAAGCCATTCGTATTCAATGAAGGCAGAAAAAGAAAATCACAGCCCATCATTTTTGTCTAAGTAAGCCTCACTCAGGTTCATTTTCTTTTATATCCTGCCACCCAGCACAGAGTCTATTCACATGTTAGTTGGAAAAAATATGTATGAATAAATAAATATAATGAAATCCCTTTTTAGCTTGCTCTTCTGAAGGAAAAATAATCCTAGTTTCCTCAGTCTGTTATTACAGAGATGTTTTCTTTAAGTCCATAATTAATTTCTTTTTAAATATCCTGATGTGTCTTAAGATGACAGGGAGAATACTATGCAAAAATGCCACTGAAGATGAAACCAATCAGAAACATATTGGAAGAATCCCTTTAAGACGTCAATGTTACATAATATTAAGGCATTCTATGACCATACCGCAAATTTTCAACCATGAAATGATGTTAAAACGTACCTCAAGAACCAACCACAATTTATCTCCATTTATTTTATCCTTTTTAAAGTACATCCCATAGAATTTGACCACATTAGGGTGATCAGAAAGTGCTTTTAAGATGTTATATTCTGCTTCAATCTCTTCATCAATGTCCTAGTTTCAAAAAGTCATAGGAAGAAAACTGAGAAAAACATGAGTAATGTCAAAGAAACATTAGCAACTACCATATAGAAATTTTAATTATGTCAAAGCAAGGTTATAAAAGTTCTTACTATGTTCAATATGATGTATCAAAATTTCTCATTTGTTGCTTAAGGGGGGACTACAATGTTTCTGCTAATCAGACACTTATCTAATGATGTTAATTACATTGAATGAAAAAGGGATCAATAAAAGGCTATTTTTATGCAAATAGAAATAAACACATATAAAGAATTTACTCCAGATGATTTTCCTATCTCTGTAGTGGTAACTTT